CAGTCCTGCACTGAAAGTATTACTTAAGTAAAAGTAAGAAAAATTCACTGAAAAAACATGACCATTACATTATTATATATCACATCACAAGATTATTAACACTCTTGAATTAATGAGTCGACAGCATTTAACCGCGTTAGCATGTTGAGGTGGAACTAATTTGTTTACAGCATTACAAGAAATTATTTTCATTATTAATTCATGTCGTCATTATGTCCTTGATTTATTAAAGTAAATGCCAAATACAGTTCTCCACAGCTCAAACTAACAATTTCCTAATGCTTGTTTGATCCCACAAACCTCACATTTGTTCACGAATTTTAAAATAATTAAAGCAGCAAATCCTCAAGCAGGCACCACGTGGGATCTTTGCATTTTGACGATGATCGCCTGTTAATTTTCTGTCAGTTAACTGGTTCAGCAAACTGGAAACTTCTTATATTTTGTGTGTGAAAATTCCCAATTTGCAAAGTCATCAAATAATTGCAATGGAGTTAAAAGTACTTGAGTAAATCTACTAAGCTACTTTCCATTACTGTTGTACAGCCACACAGGCGACCTCTGGCTTTAGGACTATTAAAACCATATTGTAAGCTGGTGGCGAGGTAATGGAGGGGACTCTTTAGGTCAGTGTGGTTAACCACCGTCTGACACCGGGGTCGTGGCCTCGGCGGAGTCGAGACAGTCGCCCTCCCACCAGGCTGCAGTCGGAGGAAGACACAGGTGCACCGGGTTGAACGTCGATGTGTTTCTGTGCAGACTGGTTTACGACTGAGCAGATGGTGGATCAGCAGTCAACACTCAGCTAAGCGCATTTAAATCCCACGCTGAACGCAGCAGAGCCGCCCGCCACCCGCCAGATAAGGGTTGACCTGGCTGATGGTCCAAGGTAGCGTTTGGAAAAGGCTCACTTTTACTTTGTCACTTCCCTTGATCGGGTTTAATTTTTACCTTTCGGCGCCAAGTTCAGTCAGCTGACTTGTTTTCAGCTGCAGGCCGAGGCAGGACACAAGCTGCAGGGACATGCTTGTAGTCCACAGATTTAACCCGACCTTTAACCCCACAGTCACATGTCAGTCCTCCATTTTCCCCGTCACTCTCGCTGGAAACTATCTATGAAGACATAGATGGTGATATTTTGTTATTGAAGGGGGAACAATCCAAAATCAAACACTAAAATAACCTAACAATCCAATTACTTGGACAGTTTTATTGATGCAAAACCTCTGAAACCAAACAAAAATCAGCCTGACAGAAAAACAGTTTTGATGAAACATAGTTTATTGGAGCAGCCCTATGATAAATATTACCTTCACAGAATTTACATTTCAATTATTGACATTGTTTAACATTTGAGGATGTTCTGTTAGTTTCTAATGTTTCTGCTGCTCCCTGTGTTTATGTGAGTTGGACAAATTATTAAAAACCCTTTTCTTCACGCATTTATTCACGACAAGCCTCGACTCACAGGCTTTAGTTCTCACAGAACTGTTATCATTGGCGGCATGTCTGAGATAACAATAAGTTGTGATTAACTTTAAATCTAGAAAACTTAAAATATGATTTCCATACTTTCCTAACTAATTGAATAACCAACCAAAAATAAACTCTTAAACAAACAAACGAAAACCTTTATCATAAGATTTTTAAGGAAAATGCGTCCAAAATAACATGTATAGGTTCCTCGATGAGTCTTTTTTTGAATGTATCTCATAATTTCACTATTTATTATCTCACACTGATGAACTTTGGGGTTTTGTGTTGTCATTTTGAGGTTTTGTGCCATTTTGTGTTGGGTACTTGTTGTTTTTGTGGTTGTTTAGAATTTTTTTCCCCAAAATCACAACTTTAGAAAGGAGGTCTGAAACACAATGACGAATCCAATTGTTTAAAATATTCTTAAAGAAAAGAAGACACAAATAACACACATATTTGTTAATGTTTCCATTAAACTGAATGTGCGGTTATGTCCTCCCAAATTCCCACATGATTAAGCACAAATAAGCAAAAAAACAAACCAACAAATTAGTTTGCATCACTTTTTTGTCCAGTCTTTTATCTCTTTTTCTTGGATAATTGTCTCACTGATGGTGTTTTTGTCTGCATATGTGTCTTTCTTGCTTGAGAGCCTGTTTGTGAAAAACACTTTATAAATAAATGAGACTGACGTGACCCCACGGCACTGCGCGAGGCACAAAAAAACAGTAGCAGCAGCTCAGGGAGCTCAGGGGTTCACATGGTGCTGCCGTAGCTCCGCCTCAGGGTGATCCACTTTAATTGACTTATCTCAGCAGGTGGAGGCTGATTTCCTCCGCTGCTCACAGACTGAGCATCACTGTTTGTCCTGGACTCCTCAGCTGATCACACAGGTAGGACACACACAGGGCTGCGCATCACTGGTGATAGTAAATATTACAATCTTGGAGACCTGAGAAACTCTACGAAACTAGTGTGGAAGGTATTTCATTTGAACTGGGTTTATATGTTTGTCACATGAGTACAAGCTAGGTAGAGGCATTGCAGAGGAAGAGAACAGTTTTAATTTATGTTTACAGTCATTTTGTGATGTTTTTGTTGGATGAGTGAGTAAATGTGTGCAGCAAGTGATGGTTTTACATAGGTTTCCTCTAGTTTCACACCAGTCTGAAACTTTTTACAACTCTGATGATGATGCTTTAATAATCTCAAACATCTGTTTTTTTAATTTCATTTTAATAGAAATGAAGTTTCATTGTATTCGTTTATGTACAATTCCCTCAGGATCACATGGTTTTATATTAATTTAAATGGAAACCTCTCAGAGGGCAAAGTGTGGTACCTTTTTGGGAAATTTACTTTATATATAGGTGGTTAGTTAAGTTTATTTAAAGACTTTTATAGATAGTTTTGTCATGGTTTTCAGCAATGGATTGATTATGTTGCAAATAATAGCTACAAGTTAAGTTTTTGGTAGTAGAGTCTCATACACAATTGTGCTGTGAGTTTGTCCATGTGTAACAAATTTTTCCTTTAATATTATGTTGTTAGGGGCACAAAAGATTTTGATTTATCCTTCATAACCAACCAAGCTGGAGGCTGACTCGAATCCATTAAAGACTTTGGGCCGCGTGGATTCTTGAAGAAATTAACTGTCGCTTACAGAAGCAATCACAGATATGCAGTTGTAATTGTGGATTCAGTTAATCGACCACTTTGCCTAAAAGTTGAAACCTTGCAAGACTATTGAACTCTGAATATGGATGAAAAACAGCACTTTACACCGCTGCCGATGGAGCTACAAATCCATATCAAAAAGAGAGTGAGTTCATTCTGGGTGAGCGATCAGTATAGAGAGGATAGAACAGCTCATCCATGCTTGGCTGGTGCATAGAAAGCAGGGTCGACTCTGGCTAAAGCTACAAAGAGACTCAAATAATATATGTAGTAAAGACTTTAAAATGTTTAAGTTCATCGAAAGAAAAAGAAAACAGAATCAGATTCCTTTTATATGTTTATATGTTCGGTCAACACAGCTGATAGAAGATAAAGTTACATTACATTCTAAAAAGTAACTCAAGGAACCTATTCCAACAGCTGAATTACATTCATTGGTTGCAAAAAATCTAATTTATGGAATTAGATAAACCTTGATGATGTTGGTAATTGCATCAACTTAATATTGTGAGTAAAAAAAAGGTCACATTTCTGTGTTAGTTGATTTAAAACTAAATCCAAGGTGAAATAATTTTTCTTCACCCTGAGTTGAGGATTTAAAGCTGCCAAAGAATCTTTGAGTGTAGGGAAAAGCTAATTTATCTAACTAAAGTAGTTTGTTGGTTCAACAGATTTTTATTAGAAGTTGTACCTTAAACTGTTGCGTTATTTTTTTGTTGTTGTTGAATTAAAACAATTTTTTAGAGTGTAGCTGATGCTTCCAATATGCATGTTGCTGCAAAGAAGCTTTAACCCAACAGAACAGAAGATCTATGCAATGCACAATGTCTAGATGGACACCTAAGTTCACCAACTTAGCATTCAACCAAATGTGTAATATTCACAGCCTCCTCCTTCTGTTATGGCGTTCAATAATGACTGGAGAAGTGTTTTGCACAACATTACGGTGTCAGTGAAGCTAACATATGGCATTTCAGACATTTTAAAGTAATTTTGTCATATTTCTGACGTTGCGTTATTGCCAAAAAATGTCTTTTGTGAGCAAACTTTTGACCACCAAAGTCTTAGCAGTTCATGACTGAATCCAAGTGAACATTTGCATCAGATGGTATTGAAATTGTTGCCCGTGGGGAGACCTATAAAATCCAGATCCCGTCTAATCCAGAGTAAAAAAGCAAACAATTTAAAAAGAGAATAAAAACAGTATCAGATATAAACTGAATATGTCTGAAATTAGTCATTTTTAAAGGTATTATTGCACAAGGTTTCAGTACTGGACTCCCAGCAAAATGTTTTCTTCACATTTTTGATGTTGTTCATTTGTGCACAGTGTGTTAGGTATCATCATTTAAGGGCTTCAAAAAACTTACTCTGTTGGTAACCTCAGCACCAACCTCTGTGAAATGGAATCGTAAAATGTAATTGGCATTCAATACTCACTGTACAAGAGGAATTGATGTGTTTCTTGTGCCAATTACAACCTTGCTCGGTGCTGAATTTAAAACAGCTGGTTGTTAAAGTTGCCAAAGCTATCTGCAGCACTACACTTTAATTGTCAATAAACAAACATGTCAGCTTTAACTGAGTTGAACCCTGTCCGTGACACGTCTCACTGGTATTACTGATGGTTGATTGGCTTAATGAGCTTACCAAGCGGCTTCTGCTCTTTTCACAGCATTGGCTTCTGTAGGCTGAATTTTGGGCCTGGACCAGGAACAAGAAGGATACTGCAGCCCTACCTCAGGAATAGTTCAGTGAGACAGAGTTGAAGAACTCCGTAGGTTGAAGTTGTGTAATATTTGGCCCAGAAGAGCCACTGGTCTAAAACATCACCAACACCACTAGCAATGGGTAACACCAAGAGCGGCGCTGTGTCCAAGGAGATCCTGGAGGACCTGAAGCTCAACACCAAGTTCTCAGAGACTGAGATTGTCCAGTGGTATGAAAACTTCAAGAAGCAGTGTCCAACGGGCCGCATCACAAAAGAGGAGTTTCAGACCATCTACAGCAAGTTCTTCCCAGAGAGCGATGCCAATACATACGCCCAACATGTCTTCCGCTCTTTCGACACAAACGACGATGGTACACTGGATTTCAAGGAGTACATCATTGCCCTCCACATGACATCAACAGGGAAGACCACCAGGAAGCTGGAATGGGCCTTCTCGCTGTTCGATGTGGACAAGAATGGATACATCACCAAGGCAGAGGTCAAGGAAATCTGCACGGTGAGTAGTAGAAAAAGGACAATGATGTAGCACCATGGCAAACTATCAGTCAGGGTAGTTTGTTACAAATACTTAAGATTCCAGATGTTTACGGATTGTCTAAAGCAACAGTTGAGTACTTTGAAGTTGGAAACTTTGCATTAAGTGACTCTACACTAGCAAGAGCAGACTTAACTGTAGACACTAGTATCATCTGCATAGAACATGAGACTGTCCATTCTGCAAACGATTAAGTATGGTCCTATGATGGCTAAGAAACTATTTAAGAGTCTGCTGTGAAAGTAAAATCAATGTACTGTTTGTTTCAAAATTCTACTAATAGGAGCAAAATGAATCAGAAAGCAGTACATAGCAGTTAACACCAGACACTTTCTGCATTACACATGATGATTTGAAATTAGACTTAGTAACATTGTAGCCTAAAAAAAAGTAACAGAATAGAATAGGATAGGATGAATGGATCAAAGATTAGGTATTTCAAAGGTATTAAGCTATAATTTGACTGATTGATGTTTGCTGAGCAATGAATGAGGCATAACTTGCAAAAATAATGTCACAAAACAAGTTGATGTAATTCTTTTCAAACATTCATTTTTTATTTTTTTTTTAATTTTCTCACACCTGATGACAACTGTTACCAAATTTACCTGCCACATTTATAGTTATTTTACTTGTTGTGGCCTTATCCCTTGTTAGGTAACATTTTTTTTAAACATGGGATTAGACTTTAATTGATTCTGATAAACAGTTTAGGATAAATTAAGGCCTAAGCCAGCAGAGAGCTTTGGCATGAGGATAGGTGGATATATATAGACAACTAAAGGAGACTGTGGCTGGTCAAAACAACAATAACAAAAAAAGCTACATCAAAATATCTTATAGAGAATCTGTCACATATTAGTCCTACACAAAATATCAATTCTGAAGTTTTGGAGAATCTAATCTTATTTTTAAATTTTCACATCATGAGAAATCTGATGGCATTTTAACTATTAACCTTAAATTAGTAAAAAATAAATAAATAGATAAAAATGTAAATATATAATTATGTTATCTGCATAAAGGATGATTGGGAGATACTGTATCTTTTTTTAGGCTTCTAGCAGTACATTTGCATTTTAGCAGAATGTCTGCAAAGTTATCAAACGTTTCCACCTTCATTTTTTGATTCTGTGCAATGTTAACCGATCTTTCAGTTTATAATGACCACTAATGACATGTTTTACCTTCTCAAACATACCAGATTTATTGATATCTTAGTGAGGAAGACACCAAAGAAACACATTTTTCATTGTCTTTCTTGTTAAGTGCAAAAATAGCCACAAACAACTGTGTGAAAGACCATGTTACAGTAAGAGGCACTGACAAGTAGGTTTTTAAAAAAACAAACAAATCCTTTTCGGTCTCTCTGCAGTGCATCTGAATAAGACAACTTGTCACCCTTTTGCCGGCCTGGCAATTTTTTTCCCCTCACTAATCTGGTTTTAAGCCCTGCAATCGCAGTGAAATGTGAGCTAGTAGTTTCAGTGTTCACAGCACTGCCAAATCCTTCCCTGTTTTTAAAAAAAATGTGATGAGATTATTCTGTCTTTGCAGAAAAATAAAAATGATTCAGGTGTTTGTCCAATCTGTTGGTGTTCCACCAACACATACAGTCACTGAAACATAGACACAGAAACCCAATTGCCCAAAGATCACTGCTATATGACCAGAACAAACTAAAGACATCCTGTTTCACTCTGGTTTGCTGGTGCTTTAAAACTTTTCTTGGCCCGTAGTCCTATTCATAGCTACCACATTTCAATTTACCAGATTAGAGTTCATATAATCACAGAACAAAGCCAGAGAGGCCAAAAAAGGCGGTTGGTTAATCCATGGCACCACACCAGTTTGTTGCTGTTTTAGTCAAAAGGCAGATGATCAGATCAAAGATGTGACAAAACGGTGGAGATTAAAGGAGGATTTTGGAGCAATGTTTCCACTCCCCGAAGCAGTCATGAAAGCACAGCCAGCGGAATTCATATTATCTTCATCCACCTGAAGTGACAGTAGAGAATAGTCTTTTTTTTCCCCCTTTTTGACCAAACTATGTCCTCTTTTTTTTCTTAACAGTCAATTTTCAAGCTGATTCCTAAAGATGAACTGGCTGATCTGCCTGATGACGAAAACACAGCCGAGAAGAGGGCAGATAAACTCTGGAAGTACTTCGAAAAAGGCGAAGATGGTGAGATGAAAGAGAGTGACATAATTAGATAAGTAGATTAGACTCAGAATAACAGTTGGTGTTCTAAACAATTGAAATATATCCTCCTCTGAATAGCTCTGCCTTCCAGAAACTGTAACTCCAACCACCTGCGTATAGTTTCAGATAGATGAAAAGATCTCACCTCTGACACTGAAGCTCAGAGGCAGGTGGCAAATATTTTAGGCTAGATGTCTGTGTCATCACCTAGGTCTGGATAATCCGTGGTGCCAGGTAATTATTTAAGGTCATCTGTAGCTCATTACTCATCTGGGACAAGTCTTCGGTTTGTAAGAGACCCAAATTCAGACATGAGCAACATTAGAAGAAAACAAGAACTTATAGGACACAGACCTATTTTGTTTAACATTTCTTTAAGATTCCAAAAACAAGTATGGAAAGGTCAAGTCACATCTGTGTTTTGTCCAATTAAATCTCTCTACACTCAACACACTTAAACGATGGGATTTCAAATGTCCAACACAAGTAATGTTTCAGAAAATGAAAGTGAAACAACTATACAAAGACTACTCCTGAAACTGAAAATATGCTTTAAATCAAATGAATTTTGAGTAAAAGAGCAGATTTTGACGACTGAAGTCCTCAGTGCATTTGCAAGTTGTCACATATTGGACCTCATAATGGAGTATCTACCTTATTCGGTTACTTTACATCTGTGATTAGCAGATTTTGCACAGTTATACAGTTAGTTTTGCATCTTAAACTTAAAGCTTCAACACCAATTTGAAAAAAAAAACCCTCACTGTTTATTGTATTTCAAAGCATCTTTCAAAGCAGATTTTAATGTTTTGATCATTTCAGTTGCCTAAACTAAACCTGTCTCTCTCTTTTTTTTTTTTTACTATGCAGAACGAGTTGCAGAAGGCGAGTTCATCCAGGGAGTGTTGGACAATGACGAAGCTCTCCGTTTGATTCAGTATCAGCCTCAGAAGTAAACGCTCTGTCATACAGATCCATCGCATCTCTCTCCAGCCCCATCTGTTTTCCGCTTCACCCTTCACTCTGCTGACACCTGACAGTGCCTTCACAATCATGTGAGCACATAGCAGGTGTGATGAAAACGCCCCACTGCTCCAAATTAAATAATGATACACAACCTTGTGCTGGGTTTTTAAAAAAAAAACGTTTGTTACCTGTGAGATGTCTGAGTTGTTTGCTGAGAATAAAAGAACGACAATTAAAGCTGAAAAACCCAAAAGTAGGAGAGATTGCCTCCCCCGGGTTTCCTAATATTGCAGTTACCATAGCAACCATTTCCCAATTTCATCATTTTACATGAAGTACCAGTTGACCGATATCTGTCTACCACAGCATAGGCAGCAATATTCCCTCATAAACGTGTGACCCAATTGACACTGTCACACATTTATTCTGCTTTTTCTGCTAAGACTAGCTTCTTCATTGAAACTGCGCTATATAAAGCAAATTCAGTATTACTGAAACTTTCAGTATTTAGTCTACATTTCTTAAGAAAAGTAAAATATGAAGGTCTAGCAACTGAAGCACTCATTTTATTATGATAACATGTCATGTGCATTAGTTTAATTACCCTGACCGTGAATTATGTATTTTACTCCACTGGACAGCCAAAGCTGTTTTTTTTTTTTTTAGATTTTATCATTAAAAGGGGAACTTTTAATCCCCGACCAACACGTAGCTCATGGTGTAACTGCACTAAATGCAGGGGGTATCCATTATTCTTATCTAATGTTGTGTCTTTTACAGTCTTCGCTTCATCCACGTGGCACAATCTTACATGTTTGATGTTCTAGTTAAGTGGTGAATATTGGAGAATAGCTTTTATTCATGTACAACAACATGTAAAACTGTTGTAAAAGTGTTTATCCAGGACTTCCCTTTACAATAAATTCAATAAAAACAATAAAATTTTAATACATGTTAAGCTTCTTAAGTATTTTTTCATTTTGATGCTTGTATATATTAAAATCTGTGATATGTTGCTCAAGTTAAGGACTGCTGTGAAGGAACCAGGTTGACAATTATGTTAATCTGGAATGCAAGTTAGGAGCATTTTGTCAAATCTGGATCCAAATTCACATTTACTCTTAAAATCTGAATCCTTCTCAATTACTGATCTTTTAGGTAGTTTGATTGGTCCAGAATGGAGACATCACCTGTGCCTCAATTTGGGGGCCGCATCCTTCAAAGGCATCATGGAAGGAGATATCTGTTGTGCAGAGAAATTCCTATTTGCATCATCCACTGTTCCTGACCTTACCACGTTTGACAGCAGCATAGACACATTTAAAAGAGGGCTTGTTTGTTCATAAGGCTATTACACATACAGTACATGCTAACAATGGCAGTGCTAACACACTGATGTTAAACACAGCAGGTGTAATGTTTATAATGCTCATCACATTAGTATAGTGTACAAGGGTTGATGAAAAAGTTTGAGACTGTGTCCATAAAAATCTTAAATCTGATTTACCTTGTGCAGTGATACACTGCTCCCACAGCTCCTGCAACATTTGTAATGTTGACTGGAATACCTGTTCTGTAAACATGTCAAGTACGCTTTGTGATGACCACTGAATCCGCTGAACTGTTTCAAAACACAAGTGACCATTTAACTTGAAAATCCACTTTGGGAAGAAAAGGAAGTCACAGGGAGTCACATCTAGTACGTAGGGCAGGTGGAGAGTGTTAATTGTTTTGTTTTGGTAAAAAACCTGTGTTAATGACTACACTGTGACTAGGTGCACAGCACATTAAAATCTTCACATGCCATCACACTAAAAATTTAGGTCATTTGCCCTGAATGTTCTCCCTTAGACACCTCAGGACTTTACTGTAGAATTGTAATGTGCTCACTCCTGGTGCTCCTGACCTGACACAATGTTGGGTTAGAGAAACTGCAGCTCTTCCACAGTGAAAACTGCTGTTTCTTCTTCTGATGGTAGCTGCAGACTTGCATCTCATAACTAGGGGGGATCCTTCACATGAAGGCTGGATCATCTGCACCACAAACAATGTAGAAACTTTTTGATAAAAAAAAAAAAGAAGCCAAAATTTTCAACGATTTAAAAATTTTAACCTCGTGATGCTGCTGGATGTAAAGTAAAGGAATCGCCAAAATTAATTTAAAGGCAACCAATAGTTTATGAGACAAGAACATCAGCAGTGGACCACCAAAGTCCTGCATCCCAGCATGAGTGTAAAAACAAATCATACAATATATCCAACACTTGGTGACATATTGCAGCCTGGAGCATCTGGATGACCAATCGATGAATGACGTTGCCATTCTCAGCAACCACACTAGTGTGGCTAAAAACAGAAAATGTGCTCAGGTATTTAACAGCTAAACCTTTTTGCAATGATTATGTCGTCGTTACCAACACCTCATTTTTTCAAGTGCAAAAATTTCCGGTTCATTTGCCTAACCTACTTCTTTCATACAGTACAAACCTGTTGTCCAGGGTTAATCTCTAATTGTCTCCAAGTGTAATTCTACTGCTGCTAAAAGCAGAGTAATAACATTTGAATAACGTATCTACAGGATAATCCTCACATCGCACTCTGAACAGTTCTGATTAGGAATCATTTCCCACATACTCAGTGAGGTTTGTGGATTATCAAAAGTAACCAGGACACTGTTTATAAAACAAAAATGTTCCTGCTTAGATTTTGTAATGTCTATGACCACCATAAATATATTCTCCTCTCATACGGCTCCTTTAGAAAGCATCTACCCTCCTTGTAAGTGTTCCCCTTTTATTGCTTTTATAAAATAATGTAAAATGAATTTAAAAAGGATTCATACAAATACATACATGACATAAATCCCTGTAGAACAGGTCATCCACAATAACCGAGTGACCATGCAAGAAAGAATCTATTGAGGGCAGTCACCAAGACACTTATGAGTCCTCTGAAGGCACTGAAAGGCTTCAGCGGCTGAGATGGGAAAGACTGCCATACAACAACTGTTGCCCAGGTTCTTCAACAGTCAAAGCTTTCTGGATAAGTGGCAAAGACTTCATCACTGTTGAAAAAATGTTAACTACTGTTCACCAGAAGACATTGTTTGGCCATCAGACCAGACGCTGTGTTAGGCGAACACCAAACTCTGCACATCACTACAAACACACCATCCCCACTGTGAAGCATGGTGGTAGCAGCATCATAATGCAGGTTTGCTTCTTGACAGCAGGCCCTGAAAGGTTTGTAAAGGGAGAGGGTGAAATGAATACAGCAAAGTATAGCGAAAACCTGCAGGACATCCACCCAAATTGTCCAGATGTGCTGTATAATGAAGACTGTTTTCTTCAGTTACATAAGGCAAACACATGGTGTCTTTATGTGAAAGATTAACATAGTTTCATTGTAAGAACTGGTTGACTTTCTTGCCCTGCTTTCTGAGACGTTTGTCTTGTATTTGTGAAAATACACATGATGTGTGTATCATGAGGACATTTATTTTGGAGGGCTCCTTTCAAAATATTTTCTTCTTAACAAATTGACTAAACTACAAAATCATTGAGACTTTTTGTGCCGTCTTGTTATAAATTACTCAGTAGTATCAGTAAATGAAATAACTCATAGTTTTTAAATGACGTAAACAGAAACTGATATTTCTTGGCAAATTAAAACCTCCTAATCCTAAAATATTCACAAATAAAAAAAAAGATATCAAGTGAAAATACACATATATGTGGTGGCTTCAGTTAAAAGAACAGTGGCCGACACTGCTCTCCTTATGATTAATCAAATAATTGTACCCGTCACTTTTCATATGTTGCCCGTTGTGTAACTGTTGTATAATTCAACCTCTTAATTTAAATTTTTAATTACTCTCCACATACTGTTCAGTGACCTGCAGGTCCACTTTATCTCTGCTTCACTGCCTATATTATGTCAATCTCTCTCTCTCTCTCTCTCTTATTCCCCTGACAGGGGAGATTATTGACATAATCTTCTGTCCAGCGTTTGAAAGCATCTGTCTTAACCTCCAAATCTCTGTGTTGATGTAATCTTTGATCCTTGCTTTTTCTTTCTTTCCCAGATGCACACTGGGTCAGATCTCCAGGCATCCATGTCAGGTCAACAAAAAGTGCAGCTGAGGCTGATGGGCAAGTTGTTACTTCTGCAGGTATTTGGTCAGAAAGTTTTTAGACAAAAGATAAGATAATTTTAGGGTAGCACCAGATGAAAAATGAAAGGGTCAATAATATGATTAGAGTTTATCCTGATGGGGATACAAAGGTTTTAACCAAGACACAGCAATCCATCCAGTCGTTTCTGAAACATAAATGAATATCTACAAATATGAACCTTGTGGTGTAGCTAAAGGAAAAACTTGGGGATAATCCGTAGGGTTTATGAATGTATGCACCACAGGTCATGGAAAAGTTGAAGCGGAATCTTAGTCTAGACCAAAGGGGTGGACCAGCATTCTATTCCTTAGACTAGGCCTTATATTAAGTACTTTTCTTGAACTCGATCGCCATTCATTTGAGTTACTATAACTGATAATCAAAATACTACAGCCGATAACTGCAGGCACAGACAAGCACCAGATGTGGTTTGTGTTTATTTATCACAATACTGAAAGAGAGGGGTTTCATTCATACATGCAAACACAGATTAAAAACAATGAAATACATAAACGCAAATAATATTTCGACACATTTTTACATCTTTTAAATTCCCCTTTGAACACAATCACGGCCCAAACAATTCATATGTCATAAATGACATGCAATCCCTGAAAAAGTTACCATAAGGCTGGATTTAAGATTGTTGTGGCTGTGTAGTGTTAAAAAACCAACGTTATTTTGCTTTCTAATGTTCTATGTGCATCAGCAGTAACATACAGCCTGGAATAGCTGTTTGCAAATCCTTATGAAACATGCAGAAGAGCCAGTTGTAGACATAATACCTCTAAACGTCCTGAAACAAATATTAACAG